CATAAAAAATAAAATAATAAAATAAAAAAAAACAAAAACAAAAAATAAGACCACTTTTGTCCTCCAGTTGATTAAAAGTAAAAGCAAAGCAATTAAGAATTTTGCGACGGGGCGTAATCAGCTGCACAGTCTACTGCTTCACAGCCCAACCATAGCTGAGCAATAGGCCAACTGATAAATGCATGCAGTTATATATTCATCTATCGACTCAGTCAACTTTACTCTAGCTCTGGGCTGGGCCTCTCAAGTATAACATTCCAGTGTAGATATACAAAGAGATTGACAGAAAACATAACAGAAATACTATATAAAGGCCATATACTCGTTTTGCCCAGACGATAACAGAGCATAAAGAATAACAATTTCAGTGTGTGTTTCCTTTGCAAAGCTTTTGGATAAAGTGAGGCAATTGTTTTTGTTATCATTGAATAACAAGTCTCGGTTCATTGATTCCAAGTCAACAATATTCTTATACAAATGTATTCTTATACAAATGTCTTTGGCTCTAGAGAGAATCAATATTTTGTTGAGACATAAACTTCTTTGCCTTATATGGTTATGTTAATGAAGTCGTCGTTCGGTGGTTAGGGTCAGAGTTTTCTTTTTAATACTCTGAATTGACTAGGTCAGTGTATATGTGTAGGTCTTTGCGTTTAACTAGCGGCAAGGACTCTGTGCTTGACGACTGCGCAGTGTGAAATGAGCGAAAGTGAGAGAAGCATTGAGAGTATAGCAACATTTGAGCAGCAAAGTAAAGTGAAGACTGCAGATGGGTAAACATTTTATTTAAATTTACATATTATAAATATTAGGCAATCTATAATAATTTGATTATTTTTTCTAGTGTTCCTTTATTTAATTTGCTTTAATAATAGCGAGTGCCAAATCTGTTTAACAACGTGCATCTGCGCATGTTTTGTATAGTAACATGTGTATAGCAACATATGTATAGCAGCATGCTGCTAGCTGCTAAGCTGATGTGCCAGCTTCAATACATTTAAATGTGTTTCCCATTTCAACGGAATGTGCGCATGTTTTCTATAGCAACATGTGTATAGCAACATGTTGCTAACAGTTGCTCTACAATTAAGCCAATGCTGCAGCTTGAATAGGCTTAAATGAATGTGCGCATTTATTGTATAGCAACATTTGCTTAGCAACATGCTGCGGGTAGGCGCTCTGCAACTGCGCTGATGCTGCAGCTCCATGACGCCCACGCGAGAGCAACTGCTGCTCCGGCTACACTCCTTGACCTTGGGCACACATAAAATGTTGCCTCAACTGTGTGTGAGTGGTATGTGTGAGTGTGTGTGTGTGCTTGTATGTTTGTATTTGTGTGTTGCTGAGGCTGCGAGTCCATGAGAACGAGTGCGAATTAAACGCATTTTAGTCGCACATTTCGCTGGCAGCCACAAGTTGTGTGTGTAGAACTGAACGTTATACGCGAGTTGATTTGTGCTTTCATATATGTACATATATATGCATCTATATACACATGAATATATAAGTGAAATATTAATGAAACAGAGCACACGCGACCACGATCCCCCAACGAATTGGCCGCTGTCTGGGCGCATTCCACTGGGTATGTACGTATGTATGTATGTATGCATGTATGCATAGATGTATACCATCTGCAGTGTGTGTGTCAAAGTGACGCAGTCTCTTGAAAATAAACAACCAAATCATCAGCATCAGCAGCAGCCACAGTCAGAGTCAGAGTCTCAGCAGCATCAGTTTAGGGGCCAAGCATCTTTGATTCTGTGAATCAGCAGCTGCTTCGTCATCGGCGCCACAAAATTGTTGAGAGCAAGTTTGTGCCCCTTATTTCTTGCTACCCTTTGCGAATTTGTTGTTTGTTTATTGATTTTTGGCATTGCCGCAAGCAAATGTTTCAAACGATTTCTGGCACCGCCGAAATGTGCCCATTTTTCATATTTGTTATATTCTGTATTTATGCAAAATGTATGCATATATGTAAATATTTATATAGATTTGTTTGCCTTTGATGTGTCGTCTCAAATGTATGAAGTCGATTAAAATTACTTCCACTGTGGATAACAAGAAATGTAAATAAATTTGCAACAAAATATGCGCTGCGGCTCTGGGCAATTTTTATTTATTTTTTCTTCTTAGCATAAATATTTATGCTGTAAGAAATTTGTATGCCGCAACTTATTTTAGAGAAACTATATTTTCTGAATATTTTTTAGTTCAGCTCATTTTCTTAATTTATATAAACAAAGTCAAGTGAATTAGAAAATAATAATAACCGCTTTTTGATACTCTTCATTTATAGCTGTTTGGCTTACATTTTTAAAATCAAATAGTAGATTTTTAAATTAATATATATAAATTAGTACATGCTTATATCCTCTTTTAAAAATTTTATATATTTAAATTGTTAATATTTACATACTTATGTCCTCTTAAAAATATCAATAACTAAACAAAAAAAATATTTCAAAAATAAATAAAATAAATAATGAAATAGTTGGAAATTTAAGAAATAAAAGTGAAACCTTATAAAATTAGTAGTTTCTTAAATTTTAACACAAATAAAGTATATTGGCTTCATATATTAAGAGTTGATTATACATCTTAGTAAAATATATAAATACATA